CAAAGAAGTCTCGAAACGTGTCTAAGACTCCCATACCCCACCGCCAGCCCATACACCAACCTGGTGTCGTGTATTCTAATGGAAAGTTCGCGGTCGTGCCGGATTCGCGCGGCACATTGCCATAGATCGTGGCTTAATTGAGCAGACCAACGAGCAGGCAGCCGGTTCCGAGGACGAGCCTTTCAATTAAGCGATAAGTGTTATCGGATGGGTCTGCTGCACCATCGTACGACTCGCCGGATGAAGCAAGAGCGTTGCGTAGCGGTCTCGTCGCATGTGCATTCTTTTTCGTCTAACCCTAACCCCTCCGACGAGTACGTCTGCGTTTATCCTGGCCTGTCCATCTTCGCGTATTTTTCTCGTTCGCGGTCGACGGTGCTTTTTACAGTCTTTCCTCTGCCTCGTCTTTTTATTGCCGCGTCATTCGAAAAATCTCAATTTCCAAGGAAATCGTCGACGCGATCGCGTACAATAAGCCTTTGAAACCCGCGACTTCGTGGATACGTAATCCTGCGATTTATTTTGATGCATTGAACCCCCGCTTCCCCTACGGACTTATTTCCTTTCGATTTATCGATGACAACTGAGACCACGTTGAGGTCAAAGGAAACATTGTTATGTATTTCAAGGTATTACCTTGTCGAACACTATGGCATAAATGGGGCACGTGAAGTGCGCGTTACCTTGTCACATAAATACTTTGTGAACATTATGTGTTTCTATATAGTGAAGGAAAAAGGGATTTAACAGTATTCTATAGGAACTTCTCGAAAGATTATCCTAATTATATAACATAATACATTAGGGGGGAGGGGGCTATAAAGTAATGTCGTTTCTTTTAGATTCAATTTAAACAAATTTGTAATATGTTTTTATTATTCATCAATTATGTAATCGTGCTCGTTATCGACAATCTTCTGCCATCTAGTGCGCAAATTTTTAATATCTGATCGATAAAAATCAATCGGTGTACAGTGACGTGGTAAATAATAAACAACCTGGTACCCCTAATACATGATTGAATGTATCTTTTATTTACTCAACAGTATTATGACTCTATAAGAATAACTCTTCAGAAGGTTATTTAAATGTCAATCATAATATACATCTTTCTTTTAAATGTTGATAAAATTTTGATTACTTTCCGGCGCCCCTAATATTTTAACCTGCAGAAGAAGAAGGTTGGTGTCTCCCTATAGTGACTCTAAAATATCGTTCCACCGTTCGGAGGATGGGCTTGTGCTTCTCGTAACCGAAAATGACACGACGTGCCAAAGATACGTACGTCGCGATAGGCAATCATTTTCGAGGGGCGCCGTCAAGCAAGCGGGATCACCGATCTCTGATTTCCCCTCGAAAACGAAAGATCGTCCGGTTCGACAAGAATATTCCTATCGCCGACGGCGTTCGTCGATACAAGAGTAACTACCATTTCCCATCGCGGGTGCGCCCCGGCGCCCGATAAAAAATGTGCAGCCTGACCAATTGCATATAACTCACCCAGCCTTTCCACTTCTTCCTGCCTCCTGTGTATATATACGTCTATCTATCCGCGCGCTTCCTCCTCTCCCTCTCTATCACTCTCACCCCCCCCCCCCCCTCGGCTTTTCTCGTACTTTCCTTCTCCAGCTCTGTCTACCTCTCTGTCCCGTTCTCACGTTCTCTCTCCCTTTCGGTAGTCGGGGGTCGCTTTTCCAGTACTCTTTCCGTCCGTGCACACATATTCTCCGACGCGCTCGCGTACATAGGATCCTCACGCGCGTACACACACGCACGGACGCCCATACGTACGTGGACGCTGCATCACCGTATGCATGCTTACACGTACGAACGGCCGGGCACACGGACGCGGTTCCAGGGGTCGTGTATTCGAGTTCTTTTATTTGGCCCTGCGGGGGTAGTAGAGGGTTGAGTTGAGCGAGCGAAACGAGGGTGCGGTGGGCTGGGGGCGATGACATCGATTTTTTACCCGTTGCTAATCTCAATGTTACCTCCTCCTACTCTGCCTCCTCTTTTTCCTCTTCCTCCTGCCACCAGGTTCGGCCACCTCCATCTACCCTTTTTCGCTCCTCTCGCTCCACCCCGCGTCTCCTCGGTCGACCCTCTTCGTTTCATCCCCTACCCTCGCCATCTCCCTGTATCTCCACCTCCGCCCTCGGACCATCCGTTCTGCGGGAAAATGTGCATGTGCATCGGGCACATTCGAGAAGGAATAACCATTTTTTCGTACCGGACAACACTTGCGCCGCGTCGTCCACCCCGCGCGCAAATTCTCCTCGTCCCCCGTCCCCTCCCCGCGCGCCCCGGTACGTCGACGTTCTTCCCTCTTTCCCTTTTAGCGTTCGGTTACCTCTCCGCCCTGTTTCCTACCGTCTCGCTCTGACGTTCCCCGTTCCCGCTGTTGCGTTTCCCTTTGTCGCGTTTTTCGTCGACGCGTTTCTCTCTCTCTCTCTCTTTCTCTCTTTCTCTCTCTCTCTCTCTCTCTCTCTCTCCATATTTTTTTTACTTTCTTTCTTTTTTATCCGCCGCGCAGCAGCACCCTTCTTCCACGTCCGTCCTCCCACCCCTACGGGGGCTCGGACCGGGCGAAATCGAACTGACGTGGACGCGCCAGTTTTCCATCTTTCCGTCTCTCCTCCTCTCCCCCCCCCCATACCCCCGTGGGAATAATGACATTTTTTTCGGTTTGAAGCCTCCGACGCGCGACCAAACGCGCCCCGGCGAGAACGCCCGGGCGAACGCCGCGCCGGGATGCCGACGTGAACACCGAAATTGCTGGAATCAAGGTGACCGTCTCTGGGACTCGAGTTTGCGTGACTAGGGACCGGTAACCTGGTGTTGTTTAGTTGAGATTCGTCGGTGACGGAAACCTGAGGGAAAAGGTACCTGATCAAGGGTTGAAGTGAATGAGATTCATTGGTCATCGAAGGGGAGGGTAGTTTTACCAATATGAGGTCTCCTCTGATTTTGGATTTCGAGTATCCTAGCCTTGTGTCTGTATACCTAGAGATAGGATTGACACCCTGATGTTGTCTATTAAACTAGTAAAAAAAATCTAACGAAAAAGTTCTTCAACAACGATCAAAGGTAGAAGGGCTTTTGAATACAGCAGCTTGACGAAATAGAGAACGAAAGGGAGGCTAGCTTCACCAATATGGAGTCTCTCTTGACTTTGACTTTTGAGTCAACCAGATTGACAGAAATCTTTTGTGTCACATAATAGAATATTTTTTGCATAGTATACTAAAAGCTCGAAAAAAAATATCAGCGGCCCTGTTCCAATCACTCGTCGATTCTTCTAATGTTGGTCACCCTACGCGCGTGCTTGTGCCCGTTGCAGTTAATAGTTGAAACCGATCTGTCGCGATCGCGTATAATGCACACACGCACGTGTCTATTGTTTGTCGGCCGTGACTCCGACGCATGGGTGCGTCAGCTGTTTGCGGTTCGATGCGCTTTTCTATCCCATGTCGAGCTATTCGAATCGGCAACGGGAAAAACATTGTAAACGTTCCGTAACGGGCATCGATGAATGTCTCCGTTGTTTTGGGGATAATTTTCATGGTACCTTTTCGCGGCGAGCTTACAATGAGAAGTGTTGGGGAAAATTAAACAACGACAAGAAATCAAACACATAGAATGAAATAAGCAACAACGAACTAAAAATCAAGTAATTATTCCATATAGAAAAATTAAAGTAAATGGAAGAGAGGGGAGAATGACACGAGCTAAGATAGATGAGAAAGAATCATAAACAAGTATCAGGAACATGAAATTATTATTGTATTATTATTTAAAAGTATAGTTATATCCGCTCGTTGTTTATTCCTCGTATTCCACACTTATTTATGAATCCGTCTCTCCGCGTTTTATCCTTTTCTTTTGTAACGCTTACCATTGTGCGAGCTAGTCACGTGGCAGTTGGTATAATCGATTCAATCGACACGCATTAATGAGCAACCGCTCTCCTTCCACGGGCATGGGCGAGAGCTCACGTGCCATCGAGCGGTCGTTACGCGCTGTACAATCACCGTAACGTAATCCTGAATTTCATGACGTTTTTTACGGTGTTTTCGCGATTTGTTCCCGCTCGGTTTACAGTCGCGCAGGGCCGACCTCCGATTTTTCAATTAATTCGTCCGGTTGTCAGCGCGACCATCCAAACACGGTATCGAAATTTCTGTCGTCCCTCTCCGCTAATAAACTGCTGTGCACTTCAGTGTTTATCGTTTTTGGCTACAACGCGCCAATAACATCGCGAAACGAACAATTTATTAAGATCTATTATCCTTCAAATATTTCAATAATTTTTGTGTCGTTCCTTGACCAGTTATTTAAAATCCTGCTTTGGAAGAGTTAGAGTGAAAGACATCTTCAGATTACGAGGACTTGTCAGAAATGAATTATTTATACACAAAATTGGATTAATATAATACAAAAATATATTTCAAGTGATATTTAATTCTTCATAATTGAAATCGATTGATTTTTATAATTGACTAATTATAAAAATGGTGTCAGTCCCTGTCCAGCCTGTAAATATCAATTTAAATTCAGTTAAATTCGACTGAAGGAAATTTATATAATCAAACTAAATAATCCTTTAATTTTCTCGAAAAAACAAAATACAGGCTTGCCCCGTTATCAACAATTTTCATTAAAATACCTTGCGAAAGAAATTATTTCTCCGTCATTTATACACTCACGAATTAATTAACGTTCAAGCAATAAATAGCTGGACCCCGCAAAGCTGAAATCCTTTAAAACTTTACCGCGTCACGTCGCGGGGAATTAATTTTGTACGAATATTCGCGAGAAACGTCGCCGAGGTGCGGCGGCCTAACCCCGGGACCCCCGGATTCCAGACCGACCGAAAGTCTGGAATCCTTTATCGTCGCCGGGCTTCAGAAAAATGCCCGCTCGAGATTTCTTTTGATCCGTCACACCCTTAACGCCACGCCCGGTTCTCGCATTAATTGCCTCGTTTATCATGCTTGCAGACCGAGATCGCCAAGAGGTTGAACGCAATAATCGTCCAGCTACTACCGTTCCTGGCACAAGAGGTGAGTCTTTGACTTTCTGTTTGGCACGTGTGCCGCACAATCTCGCGATTCGAGAGTGACAACGACGCGATAATGATAGCATGGCTTGCAGCATCAGCAGCAGGTGGCCAACGCCGTCGAGAGAGCGAAGCAAGTCACGACGACCGAGCTAAACGCTATTATTGGGGTGAGCCTTCTCTGCAATTGATTCCATTAACTTTCGTAGTTTTTTGGCAAGCAGTCGGACATTGATCTTGGCACCGTATGATACAATTTCGCGCTGCTTGCGTTCCCAATTTCATCCCCGAACCGTAATTCACGTGTAAGCCGCCCGACTAACCGTTGCGATACTCTTTTGCAGCAACAACAGGGTCTACAGCAGCTACTGGTGAGTCCTTCAGTTTTTCAAGCTTCTCTGAACTACGAGAACGTGTCTCGAGACAGCCTACCGTACCGCAGACGGCAAAAATATTAGGTTGGTAAGAAATCGATGTCGGTTTTCGAACAATCGAACTTTCACGCATGGTTTTATAACGGTTGGATAACTGTTCACTTTATTCTATTTACGTTCCAATGTCATCTCACAGTGCAGATGTCGCGCTGCATGCTGATAAGTACGCTTTTGTTTTTATTGTTAATTTGTGCTTCGAGTTATTTACTTCGCAATGGATTATAAACAAGCTCGTGTAATATTCTTATATGAATATAAACTGGGTCGTAAAGCTGCAACTGCGATGCATTTGGAGACGGTACCATAAATGAACGCACGGTGCAGCGATGGTTCAAAAAAGGAGGTGAGAACCTCGAAGATGAAGATGATCGCAGATGCTTTTCTCTCGTCGACAGTGACCAGTCGAAGGCAATGGCTGTAGCTGATCCACGAACCGACAACTTGCACAGGAGTTGGGTGTAAGCCAACAGTTTATAGACCACCTGAGACATCTAGGAATGTTAATTTGTGATATGTGGATTTAAATATATAGTTTGAAAACCGACATTATTTTCCTACCAACCTAATATTTATCTGAATAAACGTTCCAAGTAGCATGGATTGACATGAAGCCCCTTAGCTTGTCGGGCACCAAGTGTCCATCGAGCTCATACGTTAAGACGCTGTGTAAATCTTCGTTAATGGTAAAGGCTAAACTTTACTTTGAGGCCACAGAATTATTGATTTTTTTTTGTTTATACCATTTAGTAGGTCTTCATGTCCAGATCACAAAAACGAAGGTTTTAATGTTAGGAATTCAACGGTTAAAAAGTAGAGATAGTGAATGACATTAAAATGGTAAAATACGTTACGAAAATACTGTCTGAGTAGGTTTGGAGTTTTGGAATCTAATTTCCCGGTGCAGCCAATTTTCATTTACTCCGGATAAATGCACGCACGAAGATTCACATTCTCTACCTAATTGACCAACAGATCATCGGTAAAAGACGATAATACAGCTTGGCAAATACAGCCAGAGGCCCAACTACGAAGGCAGCAGAAATGAAACTTTCCCTAATGAGAGGCGCAGTGTCCCTCAACTCTAGATTTATTTTTGTTCCGTTTATTTAATAATAAACCAAAACATCGCTTGCAAAGGGCCAAATGGTAAAGAAGAAGGTCAATAATTTTGTGCGGTCGAAAGTAAAGTTTAACCTCGGTAAATGATTAAGAAAGATGGTGAGTGTGTCTGTTCCCGATGTTACAGCAACAGATTCACGCGCAGCAGCTGCCCCACGGAGCGGTGGTCGGCGGTCTTCCGCCAGGCGGATTGTTGGGCTTCGCAGGTGCAGCCGCTGCGGCCGCAGCCGCGGTGGTTCCGCCGCATCTAGCGCCGCCCCCGCATCCGTCGGCCGCTGCGGTCCAGGCGCAAGCGCAGGCGCTCCTGAAACCGTCGGATCTGCAACAGCACCGGGCGGCGGCGGAGACTCCCGAGGATCGTAAGCCGATCGCCCTCACCGACGACAGACTACGGCGATCCGTTTCGCCGCCCGAGAAATTCCGCAGCCGCACCCCCGACCTCGAGAGCGATCCCAAGAGGCGGAAGGAGGAGAAGCTCGGACACGTGAGTTTAATCCTTGTTCCTCGTCACGCGCGTCCTCGCGTATTCCACGGACGCTTTTGTTTTTGCGAGCGCGAGCGCGCGCAACCTTCGACCCACCTGTTACGCGCTATTTAAGAATAGGTGGCCCAAGTGTGTGGCGTCGACCAGGACTGAGACTGCTCGGTGGGATTATTTTTTTGCGGGTATTGAGTGCTGGGAAATTTTTTGAGAAATTGTTGAGACAGGTATTATATTCGGATATTTTTTTTTTTTCTTTTTTTTTTTTATCGAAGCTTTCAAATCTTAGAAGAGAGATTTATTCGATTTGCATGTTGTTGGAAATGTATATGTAGAATTAGGATTTGTTAATATGTGCGAGATTAATGTTACTGTTCTTCGAGAAGGACAGAACAACGTTTGCTTTAGTAAACGGACATAGTGATGGGTAAATATAGTTTAAGTTTACATAGTCGCTCTAATGATTTGATTCTTTGCTTTACGAAGAGTGGGCACTGCCAAGTAATGTGATCAATGTTCTATATGACTATAATCGCGCCAATATTTAGAGTTACTTAATAATTCCACCCTTGCGAGAGAAGCAGTAAAGTTATTTATAATGGCCAGCTCTACAGCGGTGTATCGTGACAATTAATTCGCGCGAGAATATTCAGATATATTCGAGTCAAATAGCATTTTTATAAAATAACTAGGAAATATTCAATCAGTCCCTCGCGACGTACGTGGAAATCTCGAAAAATTCGACTAAAGATCGTGACGATGCTTCATCATTCTATATCGTACGAACAATGCTTTGGGAGGGTTTTTGGATTGCTGAATTTGATATTCAAATTTTATTATTTTCAATCCCTTGACTATCACAAGATATTCCATAATTGTTGCTAGAAATACGGTTTAAATTAAACGCTGATTAATTGACATGGAAGTAATCTATTAGTTTATTTACGTTACATTCTAATTAAATTGGTTAACGGACTATCGATAAAATATATTCTCGATTGCAACATAAATTAAATATACAGAAACATAAGTTACATTCGTCGATACTTCTTCCAATTTAGGAAGTGTCCACATACCTATATGTGGACAATTGCATATACGTATGTGACAGTCAACATTTTCAGAAATTATAATTATTTTTTATTGTAAAATGCTCTTAAAATCCACGGGTACCAAAGTATACAAGCCTGAAGAGGTTAACGGAATTTATTATTCGCACACAACTCAAACGTGAACCGATCAGAACGCGAATAATTCATAAGGGAAAAAACTGGAACTGTTTTTCCGTGGAGTTGCACATATCTCCTCTCGAGGAGGAACGAGGATAATAAAAGCAGCAGTCGTGGGAGATGGCGAGGTATCCTTGTACCAGTTCTTAGCAATTTCTAAGAAAAGTCCAGTTTCGTAGGAACACATCAAACTCGTCGATGCATTCGGTGGAGGCGCACGGTTCAAAGTTGAAGGAAATAAAACCGGTGGAGCCCCGCGTAGTATCGCGCGACCGGTTGCAACGTATCGCTGGAAATATCCGAAGCAGGAACGATAAAACTCCGAAAACGCTCGATGACAGGTAGAGCTGGTAGAACGGAACGGACATCTCGTGTTTGCGATGAAAAGAGAATTTCTTGGCGCAACTCTTAAGTGTACCTGGGACGGGGAGGGAACCCGGTCGAGGTAAATTGTAACAATGAAACATGTTTCAACAACAGTTTCTCAGGCACGGTAGTATAAAAGCTGAACCGACTCGACGAATTTCTTGAGCAAACTAAGCGTTCCCAGCGTTTACTGCCTTCGTCGTTCTTGACTCGACCTGGTCACTGAACTCGCGAGGGGACCATCGCGAAGTGTGTTCCGAATTTTTTAATCAGTTTTTTTCGGATGTAAAGAAGGATATGTAGAAGAATCTCTGAATGTAGCGAGGAGCGACTCTGTTTCGTTTCTTTCAGAGATTGTTCTACACACCCTTCTTCACATCTGAAAAAAAGCTGATTAAAAACATGGAACACACTGTGCGATGTTTCCTCGTCCATTCAAAGTGGATTACAATTCTCAATATCGAAAAGCATACGGTTTCTTTTCAAAAAGGCTTCATCATTTTTTGCCTCCTTTGTTAGCAATCTTTCTTTTTTTGAGGGTGGAAAGGTGAATTTATTTAAACAGTAGAAGAGTACAATGTTCATGTGAATTTTAATAATTGTGATTAGAATAATACGCTGTGTACTATGTAAAATTGACCCGCAATAACGCGTTACGTTTTGACTTATTTTCTTTGCAGAATCTGATCGTTTTATTTAAGAGCATCGTTAAAATTTCACCAATACATGCAGTTCCGTTCAAATACTTTTACGTAATTTTACTCAAGCTCTTCAATTTTTCAAGTTTGAATCAAAATATCGGATAAGAAAAGATTCACATTACGACTTATCGTTAGGTACAAGTAAACAAATACATTCTATTTCCCTTCAAATGAAAGTCTCCATTCTTCGCTAGCGTTCGTATTATATTTTATAACAGCATAAAACAGGATTTTATAGCTACTGCAATTTCTATAAACATATTGTACGCGCGCGAAAAGAGTGTCATAAACTCTGCTTGTAGGATACGACGTAGCAGCCATTTTAAAAACACTGATGCACGCATGGTTTCATAACTGTATACAGAGATGAACAAATCTCTCTTCTACGTACAAAGTTGGTTAAATTAAAACAAGAGTGTTTGATACGTTCTTTGAGTAGTCGAGAGAAAAGAATAGCAGATACCGAATTTAATTCGGAAAACCTCCTTTAATTTTCCTTAGACGAATACGAGGCCACTCTATAATAGTCAGGACTATACACTCCTGATAATAGTCCTCTTTCAATACGAGCTCAAGGCTAGACCTAATCCTTCTAGCAGAGATGAACAAAACCCTAGAATTGAATAAATCTGAAGATTGCCGATGTGATTGTCTCGTTTCTTTCTCTGGGAAATGTTCGAAAGAGGAAAAGAGACAAACATATCGGCAAACTTCAGATTTATTCGAAGCCTAAGGTTTTGCCCATCTCTGCCATAAACCATGAACGCACTAGACCAGAACAAGAGAAATGCTATAGCTATTGTTGTGGGTATGAGTCAGAGATGAGCAAAACCCTAGGCTTTGAATAAATCTGAAGATTGCCCATGTGATTGTCTCGTTTCTTTCTCTGAAATATGTTCGAAAGAGGAAAAGAGACAAACATATCGGCAAACTTCAGATTTATTCGAATCCTAGAGTTTTGCTCATCACTGCCTTCCAGTAACCTCCAAGTATCGTCCACCCGAAATTGATTTCCATCCGAACGTGTATCAGCCAGACTTCGTAGTCGGGCGTCGAGATAAAAAGCGAGCATACCGCGTAACGAACGCATTATTCCCAATGGTTTCGGAAAACAACTGGCAGACAGATGCTATCGGTGTAGTTTTCCCGTGACTCGAGACTGACAGACGTCTGCTCGGGCAACGGAACGGTAGCTCGCTCGCTCCGTTTCCATAACGATAAAGCTTAGCAACGAAAACGCAACGAAAAGCACTCGCAATACCCAGCTGGTGCGCGTGCTCCCTAAAAATTGGATGACTTTTGTCCGCGGGTAAAACGGCAAAGCGGGCAGCAACGCCGCGTGTCGTGTGTATAGAGCGGCGGGTTGTGGGTCTCGTCGGGTCTCGCAACAAGCCAGGAGTCGCACAGTTTCTCCTTTCGCCGTGGCACCGTGAAATATCCATGAAAACACGCTCCTTTGTCAGGATCGCGACGACAAAGTGCGCGACCTCGGCGCAGAGGGTGGCGACGCGAGGTGGCGTGTAATTATAAAAACCGTGAAAACAGGCGAACTGCGCGCTGTCGCTTCGCTCGCGTTCTCTCACTAAATTGGATTATTTTTCTCAGCCTTGTTCCTCCTGCCCCCCTTCGTCCAGCCCCGACCCTCTTCCCTCGACCCGTCTGCTTCCCAACAATTAAAGTACTCCTTCGCGAGTGTACCGCCTTTTCGTGTAACCTCTGTCCCTTCGCCCTCTCCATTTATACCTCTGTGTGTAATAATAATAACGTTTTTATTACGAGACACGCGAGGAGCGTTGGGAAAAGCGACGAGGCCCTTTTCGAGTTCGATTCTTGACGTGAGAAGGAATCGAAAAGTTCTTGATCGTTTTGTGATACGAGACGTTGTTTTTAAGTTAGGTTTTTATGTTAGGTACGCGATCGCGACGCGCGCCATTTTATATCTCTGAGAACTAATTGCGCACTTGCGCAGAGTCGTTGATGTACTTCGAGTGCTTGTATCTCGATAACGGAGGCTCGGACTGCGTTATCGATCCGGACTTTTCGATTTGTATCAGCATCAAGAATTTTATAGTTTTCGTAATTTTTTAAATAAAACAAAAATTCTCCTTCTCCTTCGTCAGTTTCACCTTCCAAGCCGAAGAAATTTAAATTACACTCTTGAAATGTATTTTCTAAACCGTACTACGTGCCCCTGAGAATCTCCCAAGCCGTGCTTGTGGGTTTAAAAAGGTTAAGAACCGCTGATTTAGTCTTTAGAAGGACTCGCGATCCTTTTTCATCGCTCTTAAAACGACGCGTCGCATAATGCTCCCCGAGATACGAAGCCCCGAAAAGCGCAAGCGGAATCGCCCGGCTCCTTTCGGCATTTCGCGTGGGAATTCAGAGCCGCGGAAATTAAAGGTGCTTTCCCGTGGCACGCTGGGATTACCTACGGCTCCCGGATTCTTCAAATTTTGACGCCGCGGAACATAAATGGTTATTTATGCCCCGTGCTCTCTGTAACGCGGTAATTAGAGTGTTGGCCGCGTTGAATGGACGATATTCCGTCGGTACGAGTTCACGGATAAATGACCCAGCGTGCTGGTCGGCTTTGTGAGTAACGGCGAACCGAAGAATTAACTTCGTGTACTTAGGACACCGCGGGAAGCGATTCTAGTAGCTTTCGATCAATTCGTATTATTCGATATTGAAGACAATTAATTGTTTA